TTAGGGTTTAGGCTTTAGTTTAGAGTTTAGGGTTTGGGGTTTAGGGTTGCTGTGGGGCATGGAATCCAACAAGAGGATGTTTGAAGGACCCTGCCCCCTTTCGGGGCCAAACAAATGGCAACTTTTTCAATTGGCCCATGGATGCTCGAAGACCTCACCTCCAGATCCCAAACCCTAAGTCCTTCACGCCACACACTACCCAAACTCTAGTCTAGACCGGAAGCCCAAACCAAAACCCTAAACTTACCAAACTGTAGTCTAGACCCTAAGCCCAAACCAAAACCCTAAACTTACTGGTGGTTAGCAGGGATTAAAGGAACATAATACCTACATAATCTCTACAGAATATGTTTCTTTCCTCCCTAATATCCCTAAACCCTGAACCCTAAACCATGTGTGTGAATGTACATATATATATATACATAAATATATATATATATGCATATATGAGCTATATTCCCAAACTCCAAGTATCCCCCTTAATATCCGCTATGTGAGTCCGCTATATAATTCCCTATATGACCCCCCTTCAAAGGGCTTACAGTATAGCTCATACAGCCCCTAAACCCGAAACCCTACACCCTAAATAGTAGTTTCCCTTATTTTTGCGTTATGACATATCACCCCATAGCCCCATATTACGTCTATAGCCTAAACCTACACGTATATATGTCTATATATATATATATTCCCTTATTCCCCGCTAACCCTAAACCCTAAACCCTGCTAACCACTAGTAAGTAAACATTCACATCAGTCCCCAGGACGGCCTCGAGGTCGTCAGCATCCGCGCCGCTTCGAAGATCCGTGAAGACATCCCAGTATCCTTAGCTGTCTGTAGGGTTCAAGGTTCAGGGGTCCCCCGAAAGTTAAACTTTTAGCCTCCTTGTTATAGGTAGTAGGAAACTCAAAATTCTTAAGTCCTAACAGCCCGGCGGACAGACAGTCAAGTAACTGCCACTGCGCGGCTTGTCAGTAGCTGGACCTCTTGCGTGGAGAGTTCAGGGCTGGGGCTTATGGGCTCAGGGTTTTTGGGTTTAGGGTTGAGGGTTTAGGGTTTAGGGATTTAGGGTTTAGGGTGTGGGATTTAGGGTTTTGGGTTTAGGGATTTAGGGTTTAGGGTTCCTACCTTATACTCTAAAACTCAGGTTTAGGGCTTAAGGTGCCGAGTCACTTTGGGGGCCCTGTGGCTACCCAAACAAGGACCTAAACCCTTAACCCCTAAACCCTTGAACCTTGAACCCTAAACCCTTAAACCCTTAAAACCCTAAACTGCTCCAGAGTCCCGCCTCCTTGCTCAACCACCAGCCGGTCGGGCTGGGACCCCGCATTAGCCTTGGCTGCTCTTTGAGGGTTTTGGGTTTAGGGGTTTAGGGTTTAGGGTTTATAAGGTTTAGGGTTTAGGGCAATCCCCCAATGAGAGTCGTGAGCTCCCTCAACACGAAATAGAGGAACCCCCACGAGTTGTAAAGTGCCTAAACCATAAACCCTTGAACCCTAAACCGCCTAGTGGCATGGTGATGAACATACATGTGGTGATTGACGGCTGTGCTTGCAGCAATCAGGTCAACCTGCTCCTTCTTCTGATTGCGGGCAACTATCTGCACTTTCCTGGGTTGCTCTTAAGGAACTCAAATTAAGATACCATACTGGGTATATATGGTAGATAAAAGGGCTTCCCCAAGAAATATAGTAACACAAGTTGAGTTCCTTAACAGCAACCCAGTTTCGATCCCGGCTTGTGCAGCATCACGCTGGCCTGCCCTGCTTTCGGAGCTGTGCCCGTAAGCGACCCAGGCTCGTGTATAACGAGTCGATCCCCGCTGGCTTGGGAACTCCATTGGGAACCAGGCCCCTCCTTGAGACGGAAATGGTGCCATATCGTGGTCTTATCAACCCGTCCTCGTGGACCTGCGCAAGGTGGCCCTGCCTGCAGCTCGGTCACAATGGGTCTTGGCTTTTCTTTCCTCTTCTTGTCCATTGGCCCCACTACGAAGATGCACAAGAGAATTCCAATGGGGGGGATCAGGAGGCAAAGGATGGCCAGACAAAGCCACTTCTGCTCTTCTGGGCTACGTTCCCTCTCTGTGGTCCTGCTCCATAAGTAAATGTGAGATCCGTTGGCATAGCCTCTTGTCGCAATGGTGCAATGGCCCACTTCTTCACCAGAGCTCCCATCTTCGAGCTGAGACTGCACCTCCATTACAGCTCCCTTCGGAAGGTAGACGGTTGCATGGCCTAAACTCTGCAGCCCATACTTCGCAAGCTTGGTGTCATCTAGAGACCTTATCTGGACTTTCAGCCGGAACCTCTCGTCAATTGATGGGTTGTGCAACACGACGTGGAATCGAGGATCCTCAGCCTCACCTGTTTGACCCTCTTCCTCCATCAGCTTCGCAAAATCGGCGCTGGCATCCTGGACTGCTTTGTTGTTGTTCATCGCAAGATATTAGCTTTAGATCTCTAAGTTTAGGACTGAGGGTTCAGAAATAAAACAGGCTCAACCCCTAAATCCATAAACCCTAAATCCCAGACCCATGAAGCCAGCAAAGCCTGAGCCTAGAACGTGATTCAGGCTGAAAGCTCCACCTCCCTTCGTGCTACGTGTACCCCCCACCACCCTCATAGCAAATGTTGCTCCATTGTTGACGCTGTAATATATTATATTGTACTATATGATATTATAATATATCATAATATGATATACTACGGCATAATATAGTATCATATATTCTAGTATATCTTGTTGGTCCCCAAAATGAATACCTTTTACAAAGCCCATAAGTACAATGACCGTTACGGTAGAGAGACCCAAGAAGGGGCCCCTGGCTTAGTGTTTGGAAGCTCTCCTACGTAATACTTCATCATGCCTGTATAAGAAGATGTGGAGCTTCTGGAAGAGACCACATGCCTGAACAATGCATGCTTCTGCAACCCTGCCGGGGCGATGACTTCAAACTTTCCACCAGGGTGCTCCCTTTAGGGTGTGTGTGTTTAGGGTTTAGGGTTTAATCTTTGTATTAGGTTTAGGGTTTAGGGGAAGTTGGTCTATTACAGGCAATACAGAAAGAGCAGCAAATACACATGTAGTTGAACCTTTCCCAAAACTCAGGCGGAGCTTCTAGACAGTAGGGCTCGGACAGCTTGGACCCGCGTAGCACATTGAAGCCGCTGGACCCACCACGGTTGTAGAGATACACGTGACTATCGCTGTATTTGGAGGCAGGGAAATGGTGCTTCAGGTGGGTGATCTCGTATCTGGGTGAGTTTCCAATTCTGCCAACAACTCTTCTGTGAATCCAGTGGAGGTAAACCACCGAACTCGGGTCGGGAGCAATGGCCTGGGAGCCTACGGTATAAGACGGAGGATTCGCACCAAATACAATGCGGTTGAACTCGGTGGGTTCTTGCCCGGTTTCGAATGTGTGCACATTCATCTCATTTAGCTGATGAACAACAACAGTTTGGTGTGGCAGACGCCCCTCCAAGGGAAAACCGGCTTTGACATCCTGGGTTGCTGTTAAGGAACTTAGATTAAGTTACCATAATGGGTATGCATAATAAATAATAGGGTTTCCCCAATATAGTAACTTAATTTAAGTTCCTTAACAGCAACCCAGCAACCGTATCAACTGACTTGCCATCGGC